ATATTATCTTTTAAATTAAGTAAAATTTATTTTTTTTGCTAAAATTTTTTATTTTTTTTTTTATCTAATTAAAATTATCAAAAAAATTTTTATTTTTTTTTTTTTTTTTTTATTTTTTTTTTTTTTTTTTTTTTTTGTATAACAATGTACAGAAGGTCTTAAGATCAAATTACATTTATAAAGTTTTAATTGAAGAAAAAATGAAGAGAACAAATCGTTATCAGTATATATATTGTATTAAGATTATTCGTACATGTAATCGAATATTTTTATTATCTATCATAGAGTTAAAAGTTAAAATAGAAGAATATAACATTGTTCTCAACAACAAATGTTCTTACTCATTCAATTCATGTTATTATGAATAAAATTGAATATAAAACAAGTTAATAGCAGCTGTTTTTTATTAATTTTTATTCATTAAAATGGAAACGTAAGTAGAATGTTCAAAAGTTCAGCTAACAACAATAAAAAAACAAAAATGACGACTACAATGTATGTCATTGTTATTCATTTTTCTACTTTAATATTTTTAGTCTAAATAAAGTATTGTACAAACTAAATATATATATATATTTTCATTTTAGTACTGATATAACAACTGAAATAGTGTCAACAGTAATAGTGCCATCAGATAATTCAGATTATCAACCAATTTATATTGATGATGAATTAACAACATATTTAATATTTTTATTTCCCATCTATATGTTAGCCATAATATTGAATACTTTATCTATTTATTATATACTTATAACAAAAATTTATCGTCAATATTTATCAAATATATTTTTAGTATGTATAAATATATCATCCATTTTTAGTATTCATGGTCATATATTTTTGGTTTTATTACGTTGGACAAATAATTCATCATCAAATCATTTATGTTCAATATCAATTTATACACGTGACTCTGGTTTTATTTGGTTTAATATACAAATATTATTATTAACAATTGAAAGGATTACATCAAATTTAAAATATAAAAATGAAAATAATCATCGAATTAAATTATTTTTAATATTAATGACATTTATCTCATTTATATTATCAATAACAATACCAATATATTCATTAAAACAAAGTTATATACCATTTGATGGTCTTTGTATTCCAACAAATATTAATACGTACACAAAATATTCTCAATGGTTATATTATGGTTTTGGACATCCATTTTTATGGTCATCAGTTATTCTATTATTTTTCTTCTATTTAGGACTTTTAAAACGTCCAAATTTATTTAAAAATTCAATTAATTTAAAATATGCAAATAATGCAACATTTTTTCTAACAATTTCAACATGTGTATGTCTATTTATTTTTACTATATTCAATGATTATATTGGTATTGGACAATCATTAATTGCATCTCAAAATGTATCAAATAAAAGATTTAATATTATGAATGTAAGAGATTTTATTATTGTTATACATAAAGTAATTATTGGTTCAACATTATTTCTTACTCGACGAGAATTACGTACATGGTTCTATGATTATTTTATTAAATGTCAATTCTTACATGAAGGAACAATTCATCAACAACCACAAATATTTGACATTAAAAAGGATATACAAGATGATGATTATCATGATTCTATTGTTGAAGCAAATTCATCAAATAGAGAAAATGATTTCTAAAAAAAAAATTTTTCTAACAATTTTTTGATTTTATATTCAATGATAAAGACTCCTAATTGGATTTTATTAGCAGCACAGATATAATATTTATTTGTTTCAATAATCAACGAAAACTGAACGTGTGAAATATAATAATTAAAATCAAAGTTAGTTGCAATACATCATCTCTCGCAAAGATAAACGAATCTCTCCTGAGAGCTAATTATTATCTAATGTATTTAAATAATTCACGAAACTAAAATGTTTTACACTGGAATCGGATGATGATGATGATGATGATGATGATGATGTTAGTCTTCAAATAGTTAATAATATTTCACTTTACTCCGAATTTTGGGATACACAACAAAAATTTTAAACTAAAATTGACTTTCTAGAAGGACGTGAAGCACTTCCAGTAGTCAAACTTTTTTTCGAATGTTAAAAGTTAGACAGAAGATCCATAAAATCCATTAGATATTGTAAAAAAAAGCATTAAATATTCAATGTTTTTTTCTTCTAATGTAGATTAGACCATACCGCTCACTCTTACTACTTACAGCTGGATGTTTTCGATGTGTTTCAGTTAACTCATGTGCTAATGTCGCTAATGCTACATCATCTTTCAATTGCCACAGCACCGTACTATAATATTCTAATCCATCGATATGATAAGGAAATTTTGTCCGTAGTTGACGATAAATTAGTGATGCCTGAAAATAAAGAGAAAAAAAAATGAGAATGATACTTGTTGTTACTATCTAATTCTATCATACTTTTTGATAATCATGTAGATGATACAATGATAATGCTAAATTTGATAGAACGTAAGGTGTATCTAAATGTTTTATGGTTATTGATTCAAATATATCGACAGCTTGACGACATTCGTATAATGATAAATGTTGTAAACCTTCACCAAGTAATTTTAAAACATTGAGAATATTTTCAACAATTTCTATACAAAAAAAAAAAATTATCATGTAATATAAAAAAAAAGAATTGAGAACTAGACTATTCTTTTATACCTGATGTACGATGATGTGTTAATTGAATTTTTCTTAATTTATCTTTTTTATTTGTTATTTCAATTTCTCCATTTATACTTGTATTGTTTGTATTGCTGTGCCGTACTTGACTACGTGTCGTCATTTTTGTTGGTGATTCAAAAGATGTGGGTGTTGTTAAACCCATTTCTGAACATGGAACACGTGTAGATTTTGGACGTTGATTTCGTTTTGGTAGAGTACGAACTGATTTTGTATTTTCCTAATTAAAATATATATTTATATATGATTATAAAGAGAAATGAATAAAAAATTAGAGTTAACATACTTTAATAGCATCAGACGATAATGGTGTTTGTGTTCGGGTCGTAATAGATGTGGTTGGCGTACTAGAATAAAAATAAAATTTAAATAAAATTTTTTTGGCTATAAAATATCCGATAAACATACGTTCTTGTTTGTGTATTTGTTTGACTAATTACATTTCCATATGTGCCTAACACAGATGTTTGTTGTGTAGCACCAACACGACGTTGTGCCTAAATGACTAATTACTCGTATCATGTGTTTTATACATATTAATATTTTTTCTACATACTTTTCTTGTACTTGTTGTTTTTCTTGTATCATTTATTGTCGCTGATGTTGCTTCACGTCGATGATGACTCGTGATTGTTGCAACAAGAGCTGTTGTGGATGTTGATGTGGACGATTCATCATATTCAAATTGTTGTCTATAATTAAACAAAAAAAAAATATATTATTGTTACTTTATTAATTGACAAATATCTTAAATATTTACCCCACACGATTATTTGTTCTTTTTGGTGCTAATGGTGGATTCCTCAAACTTGGTACCCAAGTGGGTGTCATTATTGTTGGTGGTGTAAATTTATCTATTAGATCTTGATCACTGTCTGCTATACGATCAATTGGTGTAGATGTGATCAATCCAACGTTAATTGTTGTACCAACATTTAATAAATTATCAGCTAATTTCACTATCTGTTGCTGAGTTTGTTTTATATTATTGTTAACATTGGTCTATTAGAAAAAATTTCAAAAGATATTAGCAAAAACTTTTGATAATAGATTTAATATTCTTGTGTATTCACCTGCTCGATGATTTGATTTTCATTTATTTGATCTTTTGGTGATTCGATACATGGTGATGTGCATACATTTGGCTGTATATCTGGTACAGTACGACTTGGTAGTTTAAGTGCCGATGAACAAAATATACTTGTATCAACTCTCTCGCCTATAGAAACGAAAAATGATATCGTTTATAGAATTTTGTTTTTTTGAATTAACAATCAGAGAAAAATTTTCAATCATGCATAAAGCCACAAAGAACATTTTTACATATGTCAGTGAATTTTGCCATATCTAGTACTGACATCAAGAGGAAAAAAAACTCATTATGTAGAATCAGAATTATTGTCATAAAAATTTGTTGTAAAAAGTTGATAGAAATATCAACTTACCTAAATTGCATAATGCTTGAAATGATGACCATAAAAATGGGTTTAACTTTAATGAACGTCGATAACATTCTCCCGCTTTTAACACACGATCTGATTTTCTTCAAGGAAAAAATAAATAAAAATAATAGTTTAGAATCCATGTATAATTATAATTATTAGTACACATACTCGCAAACTTTGCCCAATAATTGTAAGGCAAACGAGGCTTGTTCTCCATGTTCATTAACAAAATCGTCTAATGATAATTGATCAATCGATGACCAACTTCCAACAAGAACAGCTTCGGCTTCATGAATTCTAAACAACAAACAATATATTTAATCAATCATTGTTTATATTTTCATTATACACACTTTTCAATATCAAAGCAACATTTTGCAAGTAATAATTTAGCAGTTGATATATGTTCAATAGATGAATTTCTTAATAGCCAATAAGATTTATTTACATCTCCACTTAAATAATATGTACGTGCTAACAAATAGGTCGATTCTTCATTTTTAACTAGAATAAAGAAGAATAAATATTTCAAACTATTTAAAACTCAATGAAAATAATCAACTAATTAACTTACCTTCTGCATACAATCGTTCAGCAAGAAAAATAGCATCGACATAATCGAAATTTTGAATAAATTGATTGATATAAAGCTAAAGAGAAAAAATTTTGAGAATAAAAATTTATAAAAATGAAACAAAATAATTTAACATACTTTAACAGGATCAATTGGTACGGACATTCAATTAGAACAAGAATAAGAATAAAGGAATAAAAATAAAACAATAACTAAAGAATGAAGAAATAAGTTTATTCCTTTTTACTTTAATTCGAGGTTAAACAATGTTACAATAGATAAAGACTTTAAAAGACGAATGGCTAAAGAAGAAAAAAATCATGTTAATCGAACACTCGCACATAAATAAACAAAAGTTTTATCCAAAAAAAAAGATGCTGTTTTACGTAAGAATAGATCTTTGTTTTAAATCATAAAATATTTACTAAGAGATAGAGAGTTGCGCAAAAATAACCGATCTTTTTCTTGCTATGAACCGAAATTTTTTCTGTCTGAGGCAAGAATAGTCCTAACTTTTCAGACATGGTATATATGAACCATTTTTAAACATGTCTGTTCATTTCCGCAGTAGACCATTTGCTTCGTTCACAAGTTTTCTCGCAACTAAAAAAAAGAAATTAAAAAGATTGTCGTCACGTTTTATTCAGTTAAATTCTTTCACATTTAATTGGAGGGCTAACAAATGGAAAAATGAAAACTAATAAAACAGTTATTGAAAGTACTGTTACATAAAGAAAAATAACATAACAAAACAAAAAAATTCATTTAAAAAAATAACAAATGTACCGTCACCCGAACAAACTGGAACACGCACACACACACACACAAATATTTTGACTTGCCCATAGTTTTATCACGTAATGAACATACTTGAGGTAGCACAATTAATATTAAGAAATAATATTTTGTCAGATCGTCGTACAAACAAGAGATTGAATAATAACAACAAAACAAAAAATCGTCGAAAAAAATTTAAGTTTTGAAAGACTCATTAAAAATATTTGAGTTTCTGCGAGAAAACAAAAATAATAAGAAAAAAAAATGTTGAATAATAACAATATAATAACAAAATAATAATATTGCACTAACAACAAAAACAATAAGCAAAACAAAACAACTTTTTAAACTGGATTTTCTCGTTTTTGTTTATTTTTCCATTGTTTTTGTTTTCGTGCCGCTGATAAACGATCACATGCTTGTTGAATATTGATAAATGTCGCTTCAGCATTACGTTTAGCATCAGCATCCTAAAATTATCATTTGAAAAAGTAGAAAAATTCATTGAAAAACTATTAAAACTCTTAACATAGACAATGATGACTCTCTTACTGTTTAACTCAAAAGAAATTGCTCGTCTACTTACACGAAAACGATCAGGATGCCATTTTCGTGCGAGTGCTTTACATCTGGTTTCAATTTGTTTTTGATCTGCGTCAGGTTTTAATTCAAGTAACTTGAAGAAGAAAAAAAAATATACAAAATATTGATGAACAAATCATTGAATGTATCACAAATCTTACTTCAAATGCTTGTTTATCACTTTCGAAATCAAATGTTGTCCATATTTCTGTCCATATTCCAGTTAAACCCTGTTTTAAATAAAATGCCCATATTTCACTTAAGACATGTCGCAATTGTTGATACGCTTGTGATTTAAAAAAATCCGCAATAACATCTTTTACTTTCACTTTTTCACCATTAATATCGACATTTAAATTTTGATATATAGCACTTGATGTAAAAAAGCCAAAGACAAGTAAACCAATGAAAAAAATTGTATAACGTTTTAGTGTCTTTCGTCGAGATTTCAAGGGCGGTTTCTGTTGAAGCGTTTCAACTGTGGATGTGGTTTTATTCGATGAACGCAACGTTTCTGATTTCTTTGATAATACTATCGTATCAAAATAATTGTGATCCCAATCAACTTTCCATTCAAATAATAAACATGAGAGAAATGCTGATATATTAAACGACGGTGATAAGTGAAGTCGAGTAAATAAAAATGGAAAGCCCAGCCAAGCACCGAGCAATGGCCACACGAATGAACAACGACGTGGACCCAACGTTCCCATTAATTGTACTCCTAAAGAAAATAGACAATGTTAAAAATAATTTGTTCAATTATTACGAAGATACGTACATACCGATCGCCATGCTAATTGTTGAACATGACGAAATAAACAATGATTTAAAATTTAATAGTAGCCATTCCTCGGGAAATGCATAATAAACAATAGAACCATAGAATATGGCCGTAAGATATTGTCCTAGAATCGATAAGAGTTATAACAATATTTTAAACAATATACAAAAAATTTGTTCATGTTTCTGTCCTCGACCGCATTGAAACAACAAATATTTCAATGTTTCGCTAACAGATAATATAATATTGACTGAAGTTGTAAGTGTCTTTTTACTTTAATCTCATTTTAAAACACATTTAAATCAACCATCAGTCTTAAGCAAGTTTCTGCGTCAAAATGAAGAAATTGCAAATATATGAGGAATAAAAAATTTGAAGATTATTTTCTTCTATCATTACTTGATACTTTAGTTTATCTATATCGTTTACTTACCAGCACATCTTAATGTTTCGAATGCTGGTGATTTACGTTGTTTCATTTTTAATTTGTAATTATGAATTGTTACTTGATCACCATTCGCTTGATTCACGTAATTATTCATATTGAAGATAATATCACGCAGTAAACCAACACCAAAACCACCGAATGTTGTTAACCATACAAATGTATGTTGAAGTCGTCCTAGATAAAAATGATGTAAACCAAAAAGCCCACCAATTATTGAAAAAATATATGCAATTAATATATATTTCGCCATTATGGAAAAATCAGATGGAGAATCTGCAATAAATCTAGAACAAAAGTCATAGAAAAAAAGCATAGGCAAACTGTAGTATCTCGATTGTAGTACACAGAAGTAAGATGCATTGTAGAATTCAAAGAAGTTGTAAGTGTTTGCCAGTCAAAAGTATGTCTTTTAGTCTAATTTTACACTTTTAATTATAAACGCATGAAAATTTCGGAATCAACGCTAGACGTTATAATACAAAAAACTGAGGGCAAAGTGTTTTAACTACCCACGCCAGTCACGTTTCATAGTATGATTGAGATCGAGAGATTTTCTTAGTCCAATTAATAAAACAACACCTTATGCTCAATGCTGCCATTTTCTACAATTTACATAAGAGTGCCTCTATTGAAGTGAGTTATGCGTTCTGATCTAAAATATTAATGTAGCTATCATGATATTCTCTATCACTATCTGAAAAAATTAAATTACTTATACTTTTTGTCTAAAAAATGGTTGTAGTCTATATTGTAGTCATATTTTAATGATTGCTACTGTGGGAACTACGTGGTAATGGCCAAGGCACAATTTCCGATCGACAGGAAATGTACGCTATATGATGTATAGAATGGGTATGATATTGAGGAGACATTAACCAAACTAATTTCAATATGTCAAATTAATCAAATGCGTCGCCTTATTACATATTTTTAGAAATAAATTATTGGAAGGGAAGTGATACATTTCCAATCCATGAGCACTATCGATATTATTTTGAATATATATGTTTTGTTTTAAAACAATAGATCAAGTAATTAAACACTCCTCTTTCGCTTAAAACTAATCAGTTGAAAAGCAGCTGTAGAGAATTAATGGCAGATTTTCGAGGCGAAAATAATAGAATCAACAGCGATTCTGGATCCAAAACATGAAAATCAGAAAAGCTTAAGAAAAAGAGGTAGAAAATCAGTAGACCTTAGGGCATAAAAGAGCAGAAACGAGACAGAAAAAGTTTCAAAAATCAGAATTTTTCTGCTATGAGTTGGAAAGTGATAAATCACGATAAAATTTATTGCAATATCTGTTATTCATTTGTTTATGAGCGCCGATATGAGAAGTAATTTATCTAGATTTTATTTACCGGAGAGTAGATAAATGTTTCAGGAGGACTAATGTGAGATGTTATGTTTTTTGTGAATTATTGATTTCCGACATGACAAAATATAATATACAAAGTGAGACATCAGCTAGATAAATGACTAGATATGAGCATAAGAGTTATCGGCAGAAGTTATATCACAATTACTTGCATTTTGTTCCTCATCAAATATTTAAAATCTTCATACGAATTTTTTCATTGTCAAATTAATAATATCAGTATTTCTATTTGACTATTCTCATTGTCGTGTATGATCGTAGTAATCATATTTTGTTTTGTTTTATGTTTTATAAATAGAGAAGCAATTAGCAAAAAAATATTGTGCAATTGATAAAACATAGAAATTGAATTGTTTTTCTTCACAGAAAAAACAGCTATAACACTTATTACATTGACAATATAAACAACAAAAATAAAAATTCATTCACTATCTACTAAGAACATGAAATGAAAGAAAATAACGAAATATTTCAAAAGAAATAGAAAAAAAAAATATTAGCCTCTATGTATTTTTCGATAGATAAGAAAAACTTTAACGGTAGGAATATCTCAAACATATAAATATGTTAACGGTATTTCTTAGAAAACTCGTATTGTATTTTCAGACCGTAATGAAACTGAGATATTTAATTTCTAGATTTAAATAAATATAAAGAGAAATTATGTCCCGAGAATAATGTGTTTTCATTTTCGATGTACAAAATACAACTGATTTATCATTTTTTTTTTTTTAAAGTGTAAAATAATACATTATTCACGATTGAAGAAAAACGTATCATCGCAATCTTCACATATTAACAAATAAAATAAAATTGATGATAAATAAACAAAATGCCAACAAATTTTTATGGAAAAATAAAAAATAAATTCACGATACTTCAGCATTGAATCGCCGATGTGTGGCTACAGGCGTTTTAGGAACAGCTCCCCAATGTAGAGAAAGACCAATGAGATCTTCTTGATGACGACTATTTAAACAGGGCTCCGATTGAGATCGTTGTAATCGAGGAAATATACATTCGAATTTTGATAAAGTTTCATCGATCTAAATGAGAGAGTATAATAAAAAAAAAATGTTTTCTCTTAGACTAATTAATCAAATTTATATTCATTAAGAGAGCAACTATAATTCGTCAACAGATTGTTCAATCAAAAGATTTTATATTAGTTTCAGTTGCTCAAAGAATTACTAAAATTGTATTGATAATAACATAAAGAGTAGTTCTCATTTGTCTAACTATCCACGTTGACTGGGAAAGAAAAGTTAGAAGATTTTTTCTCGCTAGAATAGGCGATAGAGCCGTGTTTCTTTTTTACTCCTAATACTTCGAAAAACATTTTCTTATGTTACCTCTGAATCGAAATTAGGTCTTATATTTGGATCATAGTCGGTTGATTTTTTAATTAGTTCAATTATTTGAGATGGTGTATCATCTCGGCATTGTTCAGCGTTTATTTTTAAACGGCCTTTTCCCACTAACCACATAATCTAAATGATAAAGAAACGTTAGTTATTTTTGGAGGAGAAAAAAAATACAAAATTTTACAATTTTACCTGTTCTTTATTGGTAATAGGACTATGTGGTAATTTTCCACTGAACATTTCATAAACTACGCATCCGTAGCTATACACATCGGCTTTAGTTGAATAACAATTGGGATCTTTTTGTTGTATAACTTCTGGTGCCTATTTGACAAAAAAAAAAAAATATATATACACGAAATAATAATAATAAAACCAAAGAAAAAAGAAATAAGATTTGTCACTAACCATCCATAATACAGAACCGGTCGGTTGAAATTGTGGTATTGTTCCTTCGACAAGAACAGTTTTTACTGTTGCTAATCCAAAATCACCAATTTTCACTTTCCAGCTAATTCCAACATCATCATGTTCAGCACACATATCGAGAAAAATATTGCTCGATTTAAGATCTCGATGAATAATTTCACGATCATGAAGATATCTAAAAAGAAAATGATAGATCGTACAATAGAATAAATATTAAAAATGATCTAAATGAAACATTAATTTGATTACGTACGACATTCCTTGACATATTTGTCTTGCAATATCAATCAATTGTGTAATTTTCCACTCTCGATCAAGTATGTGTATGTGTTTGTATAATGTAGAACCTATTAAATAAAAAAAGAAATAATAAATTCTTTAAATTGTGTCACAGATATCAATTTAAACTTATTTTTAGAGTTAGTATGGTACTGATGAAAGAGAAGATTTTTCAAACTTAAATTCGTTAAGTAAAATAGACATTTTTTTCTTTCAGAATGCGTGTAGTATCAAATATCGTGCACTATTATTAGGTTTTGTTTAATAATTTGTAATCAATGATTATCTTACCTTGACACCATTGAGTTATTATGGCAAAACGAGGAGATATGACATAACCATAAAAATTTAAAGTATTTTGATGAGTAATTTTCTTCAATGCATATACTTCATTTTTGAACGCTTGTAATTGAGAAGTTGTTGGATCAACAAAATTTAATTCTTTTAAAGCCACATGACCTATAAAGAAGACTATTTATAGTAATAAACAAAATCAAATGATATAAAATACAATCTACGTACCGTGTAATCGAACTTCAGCTTTATATACAGTACCTAAAATTAATTATATTACATTTAATATTAAATTGAATAATATTAATCATCTTACCATAAGTTCCTCGTCCAACCATTCGTCCTCTATTAAGTACATCATCAGGACGTATTTCCCATTCACTGATAGACTTCTAAAATATGTAAAAAATCATATTCAATAATTTGTTCTTTTTTTTGTGTCGTATACCAATCAGCTTACATTAGTCAGTCGCCTTAAATCCGTGTCATTTACTTTAGCACTTGGTCGTCTTATATCACTAGGACTATTTGATGGAGAATCATTCCCAGCTAGAAGTAGAATGAAGTAGTTTAATAAGAGAAGAATTCAAAAATATCAAATCCAAACCATAAAAGAAGGTTATTCAACCCAATCAAGTACAATGTGATGAGGAAAAACATTTTTTTGCTAATAATTTGATAATAAAACTAATACTTCAATAAAATAAAGCAAAAGTATGGAAAAAAACTAAAAAAAAAAGGATTCTTCGCTTGTTCAAGTGAATGACATTCGATCACCTGAGCAAAACTTGATGGTGAAACTAACTACTACCCAATCAATATTTTAAAAGAAAATAGTGTGCCATCATAGAACCATCACCATTAGCAATATATCACTAGATATGTAGATTAAAATTTGTTTAATTATGTCATGGACTTATACGAAAAAACAAATTTTTGTTTTTAATAACTTCTCATTTTGTGTATTCATGCGAAACAAATTGTGTGCTCGAGAAGATGTAAAGTGTAGTATTGTGATTATAGGGAAAAGTCATACCAAAAATAAACAATAGACTAATCATAATGCATCCCAAAGGAATTTTTAGAAAAAAAACAACAACAACCTAAATTCTAACTAAATATGTGATCATTCCAGAAGAAAAATGAAATACAAAAGCAAAGATATAGCGTTTTTCTTTCTCATATGCTTCGTTAATCTTACACAATAATAGTTGTGGTATATTCAAAAATTTTGATGTAGATGTAGGCAATGATGATGATGTAATAGTTTGTGAATGAAATAGTGACGATGCAAATAAACCTGTGGAAATAACTGTTGTTGACAAACAACATGGTGCGGAAAATGGAGAAAATGAGGATTTTATAGATTGTCGATGATTTTCTTGTTGTTGTACTTGTTGTTGTGAATAATTGATATAATTATCAGTATTTAATTCCTTATTACTGTTATTATTATTATTATTATTAGTCGTAGTAGTAGTACCTGTAAAACAGCATAGTTTTAATATTTGACATATTAATCAGTATATAAACTCTCCTCAAATCGAAACTAAACTAAATGAAACCCTTAACCATCAAAATTGTTTTGTTGATAGGAAAAATAAAATAAAACCAATTATCAAAACTAAAAATTGAATTTCTAATTAACAACATCGCACCTAGACTATACCTACGGTGCTGCACGCACAACAGAATCGTTTGAAAAATGAACGCACATATATACATAAAATGAGGAACAAGTCCAATGATTGATACTATATAGGAAAATATTTGAAAAATTCTTATTTTTTATACTTACTGGGAGCATTTGTTGTTGGAATACCAGGCCTCTAGAACAGAAAAAATAAAATTTTTTATTTTTTTCATAAAATAAAATTTAGAAGATTTCTCTCTTTTCCACTTACCGGCATTGGCATTCTTGGAAGACTACGAGATTTCGGCGAGATTGTAACAGGTGCAAATACACGTTCATGATTGTATCGATTTAAATCCGAATGATTCATTTGTCTAAACAAAATATTTAAAAATGAAAATTACAAAAAAAATTAACTAAAATAAGTGTGACACATACTGTATGAATGACATAGAACAAATATAAGCTTTTGTTGAACATCGAAGATGATAGGCATTAGTACATGAACGACAACGTACATAAGCTTCACGTATTCTACGTGTACAATGAACACATCGAATACTGATAATAAAAGGAAATCGAGGAGATGGCATACGATCCTATACACAAACAACAAATTTACTACACATAAAGCATTTGATTAAATTTTTTTTTTATTTATTGAAAAGCAAACGGTTAATATCTAAATGCACTTATGATAATCACTTAAATTTTAACAATGAAATCTTTTTTTTGTTTTTAGGATACAAAATAGTTCAGGTTCGTTTTATGTCTGCTCAAAAAAGATAAGTGCAACAAATAGGCATACAATGATACAAACAATATCGAAACAAAAAGTTTGATGTACCCGAAAAATATATCTTGTCGAACAAATCGACATAGACGAGATTTATGTATGCAACGTGCATGAATTCTATAACCGCACACTAAACAACGTAAACCTTGAAACAATAGTTTATGACATGTATCACAGTATGTCAATGTAAAAAATGTTTTACGAATCTAAACAAATAGAGGCATCTTTTTCAAGGAAATGCTAACGAAATACATCTTTATTTCATGATAATTTTACTTACAAATGAATGATCAAATTTTGTTTTTTCTTCTAAAATAATTTCTTTTTCAAGTACATTTTCTAATATAATATCCCATGAACATGCTTGTCTAACATAAAAAGTAGATAAATGTTATTTCTTAACTTTTCAAAGAAAAACAATTAATTTACCTTGAGATCATGTAAACAGGTGTATACGCTCGAAGACTTGTCACCGAATGCATTGCTGCTTTTGATTCAAGAGCTTTTTCTAATGTTTGATCATTACGTGGAGCAAGCTTAACGAATAGTAACAAAAAAGAAAGCCCAATAAATATCTTTGAAATCAAACTTAACAATTGACTTACTGCTGTTGTATGCTTATTTGGAAAATGAACGCGTATAAAATTGCTTGGCGTCATACTTGCCCTTCTTAATCTCACTTGAGATGGTGGTGTGGATAGATTGTTTGGTGTTGAGGATGTTGTCGGATTACTTGCCGTTCTTACATATGGATAATGTTGAGATGAATGTTGATGAATGACATCGTCATCATGAAGTATATCGTTTGTATTAGCCGTGGAATGTATTGAAGATGGTGGTGGTGGATCAATAATATTTTTTGGATTAATAATACTTACATTGGTGGTAGTAGTTGTAATAACATTGTCATTGACAGGAGAATGTGTTAAAGAGGGTGATGGAATATTTAACACGGGAGTTGGATTTGAAGGATAATTGCGCGGCGCAGAAGGGTAAGCATTATTGTTGTTATTATTATTATTATTTGTGTTATAGCTCACGTCATATGAAAATGGAAGATACGTTTCTAATTCATGAAGATATTCTGTTAGTGTATCTCGTGCTTTTGTTAAAGTATCGATTCGATCAGTTAAACGTCGAAATTCCTACAAAATATCATCTCTCAATGATAATTATCTCTAAACAGACTAATAAATGTACAAGATGATAAAGTACTCTAACATGCTTGCTTATTTAGTTCAAATTTCTTTATTAATTAGTTTAGTTACAGTTAGTACAACAAGTGAAAGAAGAGTAATACCAGTTCTATGACGAGATTGCCACAGAAGATAGAGAGATTTTATCGTTTTTAGACTGAAATCTTACCTGCGTATAAAATGGAGGACGACTGTCACGAAAAGCGATATTAGATTTTTCAACATCCGCTGTTAAATGTTTCAACATAATCATGATATCTTCGAGCTAAAATATAAACATACCGTATAAATTTATTGTGAAAACCATTGTGTGTTTGTGTGTGTAGATATTTATTAACTTACAATCTCTTGACATCTTTTTGGTGTGGTACGTTTTCCTTCTTCAACTTTTTCCAAAATCATACGACGAAAACTTTCTTCTTGATTTGATGATGATGTAGATGTTTGATGTGAACGAAAATTTGTTGGTGATGTATGTACTTGATGATCCATTTCAGATAGACGTTTAGCTTGAGCAACAACCATAGCCGACATGGGGTACAACAAAATAAAAACGGATAAATGTGAAAAATTACTAAATTAACATTAAAAATAATTTCTAAAAAGGAATAATATTAACAATGGCGATTATTTGACTTGGCCACGTACCTCTGCTGCTACAGTGTCTTTGCGCAACAGTTTTTCTGTATTTTGTTTCTCTTGCAATTTTTGAATGAAAATATGTCTTAAGCTCCAGAATATCAAAAAATGGAAGAAAAAAGTGTGATGAATATTTTGAGACGTTCGGATACTCTAAACATTCTTTTGTTTTAGGTAATACAGCAAAAATACAAACTATCGCTTTTTCGGGTTTTATTCTTCAATTTATGATATTTTTGAGCTCCGGATATATTTTCATTCAAAAATTGTAAGAGAAATCGTTGCGGAAGGACACTGCGGTAGGAGAGGTACATGTACAAGCCCGATTGTATTACACAATCAAAGTTATCAACCAACCAAACTAATTTCGATAGTTTATCAATAAAAAAAACAAAAACTTATTCCTCTTAAGGAAATATAAAGAATAACTACTATTTAGACTATATATTGTGACAATTTTTGAAGCCGACAGTCCAAAGTACAAAAGCAACGATTACAGAGTTCAAGAAATCTGTCACTTATGCAATCCAAATTTCTTATGGAAAAAAGTCAATGTTTCTTTTCATTCAGTGAATATGAAATGTTTTGAAAAAATTCATCAAAAACTTTTCATTATTTGTTCAAATGAACTGTAAAATATGATTATTTGTCATGATAACTTTCAAGGTTGAATTCTACCAAATTTGCAGTATTGAAACAATAAGTTTCACTGAAATACATAAGAAAATTGGTTTTTTAATAAGATCGAATGGTTTACGAACATCATCATCGATCCAGGTAAATAAAGCCTAAATAGACACATTTATCCGGAAAGAAGTATGTGAACAAGCACAAACTATAACTACACTAGGGTACATAAACAATCTGAAGATATCTATCCAGGGTTCGAAAAAGATTTCATAATTCAGGAAAGAGAGAAAGAGAAAGAGAGAAAGAAACAGCAACTAAATCGATTTTTTCTTCTTCTATGCAATATTTTATGATATAATTTTTAAATTCAAAGTCTCATTTTTCGATGTGTAGTTTACAAGGCACTATATTACACATATTCAAAAGGTTAAGAAGAAAATGAAGGATAAATTATAGTAGAAAAATTATTTGAATTTAAATTTTATTTTATATCATATTTTAAAGGAAACTATTTAATTATAAAAGAGAACGGATCTCGTACACGTCCGTTTCAGCTGTTCAAATCTAGGGTACAATTTTACTCACATTTACTTTTCCTTGAAAATATTCAGTATCTTATACAATAGAAAAGTCTTTATTCAAGATCTTGTTCGAATAATTTTAATTGTACTAAATTTTATTGATTACCTGAAATTTGAGTACTTTTCAGAATAACAAAGAACATTTTCAAGAAAAAAAAGACAATAAACGGTTATTCTAAAATGTGTACCATAGCTTTAAATTATATTATGGGAATATCTAAACTTTTTTGTGTTATTATTATACGATGAACATTTTTTTTTATATTTTTCAAGAAAAGAAATGATGTACCGAAAACACGCACATATAGAGTGTCTCGTACAAAAACATATTTTGTGAAACAATTAGTATTTTTTTTTTTTGTTTCTTCCTTTTGTCGCTCAGTTCTTCTTTTTTTTTCTTCTTTTTTTTGTTGTCGTTCCATGTAAATTGCATAACGATTCATTCTTTGGTATAAAAAACGTAAAAAGAAAAAGAAGAACCTTGAGATGGTCCAGGCACCATGTTACTAATGAATAACAGAGCATGCGACAATTAAACCGAGGTTCCTATGTCAGCGGTAAAAAAACATAGAACAGAGAGAAATGAAGAAAATAATAATGACGTTGTTAATAATGGATAAAACGTGGAAAAGCTAAAAAAACGTCGTGTTATCATACCTATAACAGATTCGAGGTGTTGTAACTGAAAACAAAAAAGAAGAGAATATTTTTCATTCTTTGCTTGCTTCAAACAAAACAAAATATTGCCTTGACCACAATAGAATAATGCAAGTAGATACAACAGCATACATATTATTCATGTGATTATACATTTAGAGCGGTCTGTAATTTAGCAAAAGACTTTCTATATACATACACAACACGATTAATATAATAGAAGAAAATTCAATTCTCTTGACATTATGTTAATAATGTGAATACTACTGAAAATTTGAGTTCTCTCTGTATTGAAAGAATTCTTGGAAAACCAAAGATATAAAAACAATATTTTGTTTCCTACTATTCCCATATTGATCAGATATTTATCACAACTGAAAATTTGGTCATCATGAACCTTTGTACTTTCTAATAAATGAAAGATACATAATCAGAAGATATATCCCTGTAATGATCACGATACGGTTACAAGCATTTTTAGAATTCGAAACCACCATCAATATGCATGTGTTAATGGAATTATTCGACACAGAGAATTCATTTGCTATTTTAACTGGTATCAACTGAATTTGAATATCAAAGATATCTAAAATCAAAATAAAATCAACTGTGGCTATAGAAATATAAAGGAAGAAAAAGCATACTTGGGACTTTTATAGATTTTATGGACTTACATCGACTTACAAGGATTTTTAAAAACCAATCTAAATTAGATGAGCTAAAAACTAACAGTTGTTTAACGCTGTGCGTTCCGTACCATTAACAAGTATCTAATATATTCGATAAAAAGTCATGTGAGTCGTGGTCGACTCCTAGTTGTAATCTGTCAATTTGAGCGTTTGAGGGGAATAAATGCCAATCATATTTTCTAGTTTGGCAATTATTCAGTGCTAGGATGATTTGTATGCATGGGAGCTTTTTTTACTTTAGAAAAATCGCTATTAAAAATCTAATTTCTACAATCAGTTAGGTGAGGCTACAGATCAACTAGTACTACTCAAGGAGGGGGAAGGCAGACTTAAGTCCCAATTATGGATTTCCAAAGTCTATTTAAATCCTTAATAAGTTCTTAAAAGTCCCTGGACTTTTATGGATCTATGTAGACTTACGCAAACTTTTAGAGATTTACGTGACCTTTTGTGCTTTTCGAAGACTTTAGTAGACTTCTAATTCCGATGGACTTTAATAATTCATATCAGTCTCTGTAAAGCGAGTGGATCTGTATAAAATATCTAACAGTAAAAATAACAAATGAAGAAAAAATTTAATGTAGAAACCGATTAAAAATTTTCTAACATAATCGGTAGGTAATTCAATTGAAATTTAAATAAACCGACAAAATTGGAATGATTTCTGTAATAATTCGTACTATTTCCTTTTCTCATGATAGTTAAACTCCACATGTAAGAGTGTCGATTTAAATATATACGAAGAACATTTTGAAAAACAAGGACCTTTTCTGCGATCATTGTGGAGTTTAATAGTATATAAGTTTCTGACCTGTCACAGAAATTCTGTTTTTTGTTTATGCCAGACATCTAGATGTGCACTCAAATTTGACTTCATTTTTAGAGTTTTTGCAAAAACTCAGAAATCCACAGAAAACATCTAAAACTGTAAGAAAAATAGTTAAACGATGTGGCCATGTAACTTAGTCGCATCGCAGAGTTCTGGGATGGGTTTTTGAGCACTCTATTTAACTACACGATGAGTCACGAAAGATTATTTTGAGAGCTCAGAGTAGCATTTCCGCTAAACTGAGACCTTAGTAATGGGTACGATTACGAGCAGTGGCAACTCATCAGATTTTTTTATTTTTGACTCCTTGAAGGGACCATTTCAATGGGTTTCTTGAACGTTCTACTAAGCTCTTTGATCAGATCATTTCGCAAGGTTGAAACTATCTCTAACGATGATTCCTCAAAAATTCGATGGACTACGAGATTTCTGTCCCTCGAACAGGATTGCTCGCAGATATCCGACCGCTAGCAGAGTCCGTGAAATGAGTTTTTCTGATTACTTGGAAATGGAATGAGATTCTGTAACAAAATTATAGCATGTTGATTTTTCAACCAAAAAGGAACGGAGCTGAGCAACATCTAGAAGTATAGAGTAAATTTTTCAAAATCAAATCAAATACCGCTGGGTTCTATACGGTCTTTCGGTAAAAAAATAAAGAATTTAGAAACAAAAAAAGATTTTAGGACCTTTCGCGAAGGTTAGCTTTTTTAGGAAATCTTTCAAAACTGGACATTATTTCGACTATTGCTAGAGAAATACTTTCGCTTCCTTCTATAGTCCAGACTGTTCGTTCCAAAATGAAAGTCACGCAAATTAGACGTAGCATCAAATTTCGTAATAGACTCAGTAATGCAACATACATTACTTTGCGTAATCGGACCGTCAAGCAAATTTTTTATTAGAAAAACATGAAATTTTTTAGTTTAAAAGATAAATGATGATGTTTGAATTTCATCTGCCGCTTTTCGAAATAAAATACTGCTCTGATCATATGTTAAAACTCTCAGCTAATTTGGGTTGATTTTGAGAGAGACGTGACATTTTTGGGAGATCATGAGGATATTCTAAAATTGAATAATTTTGGTTTCAACTTTTTTGGAAAAGCTAACATTTTCATAGGACTTAATCTGATCGATTAAAAAAACTAAATAAATGCAAAAGCATTTCTCTAGACGAGCCGACATAATGCCCTAACTTTTGAAAGATCTCCTGAAAAAACTAACCTTTGCGAAAGATTCGAAAATCCTTTTTTGTAAAACTACATGCTATGTTCTTGATTATCGAATGATGGGAATTGGGAATCTATCTTCCTTTATCAAATTCTATTTAAAAAACTTTAGTGTATCAGTTAATCGGAAATGTATAGTACTGTAAAATCTCGCACTGTAATAACCTCTTCTCAGTGTTCACTTTGGCTCAGTGGCGGTTCTACGGGAATGGCAACCGCTATTTTTGATTTTCTACTACTTCTTTCTAGTTCAAAAAATAGCTAAACGCGAGGTACAC